GCTACCAAATTCCCTTCTCAGGGTGAAATCTGGAATGGTCCCAGTTGAAGTAATGCACAACCTACACACGCAGTCATTGATTGAAGTTGGATCTTATTTGTTCTAGCTCCCACCTAAATCTAATTGATATTTTTCCTCTGCCTAGGTGAGGGTTGTTACAGTAAGATTCGAATGATGTGAGTCCTTCTCTTTCAGTGATATTGTGCTTGAGACTCCCTAAAGCCAAAGTTGATAGAGCAAGAATGCAGTGCTTCTCCTTCAGCCTGCAACTATAGCACAAATCTTGTTCTGGCTCTGGAAATCCTTAAATAATACACAGTTTTTATTCTGGCTCATTTAAAAGTTTTGCCATCAGCCCTACTAGATGGAAGACACATCTGAATTCCTTATACGCAGTATATCTATCCTTGCCAGTCAGGTTATAGTTAGAAGAGTTGATAATGTTCTTTGATATTGCCTGTATTGTATTCATTCTAAATTTGTTGATCCAATCTTGGAAAAGTTCCCAAGCAGATCTGATAACTTCTATAATTTCCATCTTTAAAAAATCTGCTGAAGATTGCAAAGTTTTGCATACTGGCATGTCTCTTTAGGACCATAACTGACCATAGTGAATACTTTTACACATTAATTTAAAAGCTAGATATTGAACAGCCACAAATGTATGCACATATATAGAAACCTTTGTATCTTTAAACTGCTTTTTAACTTATTTACCACTTATTATGACTGTAATAATGTATGGTTGGTTACTTGCACTGACAACACAGGCCCAAGTTTCCTTATCCTGTTTTATATTTTGCACAGTCTACCCCACTCTTTCTATGTTATTAGCTATTAATGGAATCGGAATTCTACCATTTTCCTCCTCTGTGTTGTAGTATTATATTGCATAAATAACCATTTTTATTTTCTGCAGATTTAGTCCTTCTGGTAGTGTGGTCACTGTAAATGAGCGATACAGGTCAAAAAGTGAATCTCCGTGGCGGGTTGATGAACCTAAGCAACACAGTTCTCAGGTGGGTATCGTTTGTTTGGGCTGTGTTTGTAGTATTAATTGTTTATTTTATTTACAGTATTTGTATACCGCTTTTCTCACCCCGAGGGGGACTCAAAGCGGTTTACACATAAGTAATGGCAAAAATTCAATGCCAGTACAAACAATTACAATTATACACTACAATTAGACATAAATCAAGTTAAAAACAGTACATCCACAAGCAATAAAACAATCATAACTCGTCCATTGAATCGCCGTTCCAGTCATTGTCTTTCCGAAATGCTGCATATATTTACTTCTGCTGCCCAAAGGCCTGGTCCCAAAACCATTATTTTATTTTTTTTCTAAAAGCCAGGAAGGAGGGATCAGATCTTACCTCATTTGGGAGTGTGTTCCATAGGCAGGGGGCCACAGCCGAGAAGGCCCTGTCTCTCGTCCCTGCCAGACGCATCTGTGCTGTTGATGGGAGCGAGAGCAGGGCCTCCCCAGATGATCTTAGATTACGAGGTGGGACGTAGGGGTGGATGCGTTCGGACAAGTAAGCTGGGCCAGAACCATATTATCCACGATGGCTAGTCATTTTACCATTTGAGCCTGCCTCAAGTTCCATAATCTAAGGGCCCTTGCACACAACACAATATCGCAAAATATCAAGGCAGAAAATCCCACATTATCTTAGTCTGGACTCGAAAAACCCAGTTGAAAGCAGATACTGTGGGATTTTCTGCCTTGATATTCTGGGAAACAGGGCTATGTGGAAGGGCCTTTTTAAAAGACCACAGTTTGGAAGAAAAATAGCAGGTGTAATAGGGTGAAAAATAGATAAAATGGAAGTAGGTATAATTAAAGCAAAAATGTGTAATATATTCCTATTCCATGTACTTAGACCTAATGCTATGTACAATATTTCACTGATTCCAAGACACGCTTTTCTCCCCTAAATTGAGGGGGTCTTAGAATCACTAGTGTCCTAGATACACAGTTTTTTATAAATACAAAGAAGATCAGGAGCAGTAGCTGATAGAGAAGGAGGAAAACTAGCTGTCCTGGCCAGCCCCCGGAAGTCCTCCTCAACCCTCCGCCTGATGCCACCACGGCTTTCTGGACCCTGCACCTTTTGTGCCATTTCCTACTGCTGGCTTGGTGCGGCTGATGTGCACATGGGCTTCTACTCCCTGGGCTGCTGCCACTGCTGGTTATTATCGCTGCTGTCCCTTAGTGTCATTTTTAAAAATGGTCTAACTCTTAAATCTGACAAATGGTAATTGGCTCACAAATTATAATAAGCACTGAGATTACCATATTATGTGAATCGAATTCACACCTTAATTTTGGCTAAGTGAGTTTACCAAAAAGTAAAGACTTTCTGTATATATTTCAGATTTTAATATTAATGTCAAAAATAGGTAGTATGATTTTACATAGAATTTGTGCTATATTAGAACGGTAAGGACAAATATCACTTAAGTGAAATAAACATTAAATATTAAATAACCAAAAAAATAAAATGTGTGAACACTAAACTAATCTATGAATCTGCTATTGCAACACATCCAATGAAGTGGTTTAAAGCCAGTCTTAAAAAAAAGATTAGAACTAAGTACGTTATAGTCAAATAAATACAGTACTTCCCCTTCCCCCCTCCCCACAACTGATAATCTTTTATTCTTCTCTGTAATTAATTTTCTCTAGGTGGAAGACTCTGCAATCGTCGGAGTGAGTGGTTATGTTGAATATCTGCGTGAACAGGAAGTATCTGAGCGGTGGTTTCGTTACAACCCTCGACTCACCTGCATTTATTGTGCTAAATCCTTCAACCAGAAGGGCAGCTTGGACCGGCACATGCGTCTCCACATGGGCATCACACCTTTTGTTTGCCGTATGTGTGGGAAAAAGTACACCCGAAAGGATCAGCTGGAATACCATATCCGCAAACACACAGGAAACAAGCCCTTTCACTGCCACGTCTGTGGGAAGAGCTTCCCATTCCAGGCCATCCTCAACCAGCACTTTCGTAAGAACCACCCTGGGTGCATGCCCCTGGAGGGGCCACACAGCATCTCCCCAGAGACCACGGTCACGTCAAGAGGGCAAACCGGGGAGGAATCCCCTCTTCGGGAAGAAGCCGGCATGGCTGGGGAGACGGCTCAGGGGTCTGTGTCCACCACTGGACCAGACTGAGGTGGAAGGGTGAGGGGAATCCTCTCGATCGATACAGCAAACCCCACTGAGGTGGCACGCTTATCTTGTCATCTGGGCAGTGTTACGGCTGGACAACGATGCTCCTGAAATGTTGCCAAAATAGAACAAAAAGTAGGATAACAAAGTGCTAAAAGTTCTCCTCTTTACCTCATCTCCTTGTGGTGGGGAGAACAAAACTGAGTCAACTAACCTCTGATTCAGGGATTGACAGCTTTGGGAAGGTTTTTTAATTAACCACATTGAGCAATGAGAAAGGAGAGACAGCTTTTCTAAATTTCTTGGTAACAGACCTTACATATCGTCTGTGGGCTGTAGGCTCTAGTTGTTATGAGTGCAGAATGTCTGCATTCATGACAGGCTTTAAGAGTCAGGGGATTAAGAACTGCTTTTTATGCCCACCCACAACCTGTCTCCAAGGTAATTTTTTAAAAGAACAATGGCTTTCTTAGTAAATCCTAGCTTGTTTTATTTTATCTTGTTTTATTTTGATGTGTGTTGGTTTTTTTTTTAACGACCCATTGCTTAAGGGCTGTTAGACCAGTGGAGAAATTTACCCATTCAAGGTATGTGGCCTTGCTTGTTTATTTCCACATGTTACGAGGCTAGCAACCTTTTGAGCAGTATTTCAGATATGACAATATTTAAGTAATTAAGCTACTGAAAAAGGACAGTGTTTGGCTTGGCCAAGTTCAGAAGATATTTTCAATTGAAAAAATGTGGATCGCGCAAAACACAATTATTTGTCTTTGTGCACTGCAAAAACTGAAAGAAAATAGGGTAACATTTGCAGTTGCGATGAATTGTTAAGACCACAAAGCTCATCCTTTTCCTAGCTTGCACTTGATCTAATAATACAGCAATATTTGTATATCAAAAGAGTCAAATCCAGTGGGGAAAAAAATCATAGTTTGTTTGCCTGTTTTCCCTTTTTTAATTTTTTTATATGAAAAAGTGCAAAAAAAAAATCTCCTAATTAGTAATAATGCGGGAGGGTGAATATTCCAGTTTCTTACAAGCAATGCTAAGTCCCAGCACCTTTATACTATTTCACCTATGAGGTTATTAAGGAGATAACGCAGTTGCCAAATGTAGTAAATATATGACTATCTCACGCCCCCACTTTATATGTTCTTTATACTTGAAAGGGTGCAAAATCTCTTGAACGTGTGTCAGAGACTAGCAAAATATCAGCAGTTTTTCTTTACGCTGTACAAGAAATGGTACTAATTGAAGAGATCTGATCTCTTCAACTAGCACCTTGCACTGCTGATAAGGATTCCGGAAATTTGCAAACTGATTTACAGGAAACTGGTGAAAAAAGCAAAGGGGAATTAGAAGTTTCAAATGGGCAAAAGCTTAGTTAACCTTATGGGAAGAAAAAGATAGCTTTGTGACAAATTTGCTTGTTCTTTGGTGGTAACATTGGGCCAATCTAGCCACCTTAGACAACAAGTTTTCCTGCTTGTAAAAAAGGAGTATAGTTTCTTAATTCATGTTTGGCTGGAAGAATGAACAAAAGCAGATAATTATGTGATACCCTCAGCATCCATTTTTTTCCTGTTTACACTAAGAAATTAGTCACACTCTGCACCTCGTGGTGGAGTGCAGTAAATAGTGGTTTCTTTTATGCTCACAGCAAAGAGAGCCACCCAAAAGGTCAATGCACAAACTTAAAAGAGCCGGGCAAAAACCTCCCAGGCATTTGCCCAAAGACACTTTCCTTGGAGTTGAAGTGCAGGAGGAGAATAGAAATGAACGTATATGCTGCTTTAGTCTTAGCATTCAGATTTACCAAAAAGAGGCAATCTACACTAAAGAGCATTAGAAAATATTTCTAGTTACTTATAATAAAGATTTAAGCATTTAAAAGATAGAACTTTAAAATATTACCAAACTCTAAGGCGTACATTTATTTATTTATTTACACATATGTTATATATAGTTATAATGAGAAGGTTTCTCTGCTCAGTTGGTGATGGTGTGTAATGACCATACGAAAGAGTTTCCTCCAAAGCGGATTGCAGCAAAATCCATCCAAGATGAAGTAGCAAGGAGCTTTTTAACAAGGAGTACTGAATGTGGTGGTGTTCATGGATCTGTGAGTTTTATTAAGCAAGTTCTTACTGTACTGATACTGTGAACTGAGAGCTGCAAAATAATTCAGGGTCATGTCAGCCATTGCCGGCTTGCTAATAGACTCCTCTTTAATTAGCTTGGCCAGAGTCATTAAGCACTTCTTGCATCTTAGCTGTCAAAGAAAAGTAAAGCTTGTGAAAGATTTTTAATTGCCACTGTAGAAATGTATCATTTCTAATTGCATGCGAAGGAGCCAATATTCTTGCCCAAATCTCATTTGAAGTGAGATTTGCCGTTTGTAGCTAAAGCCATTGACCTCATTCAGATGTGCAGCTAAGCTACAAGAGGAAGTCCGTATGAGCCTTTATACACTTTCCTTTTGTCCTCTAGCACATCCAGTGCTTTTGCTTCTGTTGCAGAATAACATTTTAGTTTAATTGTTGTGTTTTTTTTAATTAAGCCAAATGGAAATCATACTGTATGATGGATGGTTAAGATCAGCTGAAGTATACGGATAGGACAATGTTCTGAGCTTCCTTCTAATGTGATGGAGGCATCTAATTTCTTTGCAGTTGTTCAAGGAGAAGGGAACATGTAAGTCCAAAGCTTATTGTGGCTTGGTGTCATAATGCTAAGCCATGCTCTAGTATTATATTTGAGTGTAGCCATGGATTGTTAATGTGTGTACCTGTGCACACATGCATATGTCTGCAAAAGTTGTGAATGATCTCTAATCCGTTGGCCGTTGCATTTTTAAGAAAAGCAGTTTGTTAGTTGCCAGAATCCTGAGACTATTATCTTTTTTTTGGTACAGATAGCAAGTTTCTAATGAGAAAAGTGTGGAAACTTTAGGAGATGGTGAGATGTATGTCTTCTACGAATACCATAATATTAAAGAAGTGGCACAGCATTTATTTCTTTGTCTGAATCTGTGTTCCCTGATCTGTGACAAAATAAATTAGAACTTTAAATTAGAAATCTTACAGAGAGAAAAAGTACAATTTGTTTATCTGAACAAAACAAAACACAGTGTTTGAATATGTGCAAGTTGTTCTCAGTGGCATGATTTCAATTGCAGACTATACATTGTTTTGATGGGACGTGTAAAGTGTGGGTTGCCTAGAGGACAGGGTTGTTACCAAAGCCTTTGAGGCTCTGGACTTGGAGACCCACAAGAGATGGTGCCAAGGAGAAGAATGACAGACCAGAGGCAGAGATGTTGCTCCTGGTTAGTCCGGAGAGGAGCTTTGCTGTGCCTAGGGCTCAGGGTGGAGCCTAGTAGGGAAATGGCTATAGGAGGAAATAGCAAAAGCTGTTCAAAGCATACAAATCCTGGAACTGGTTTATTTTTTATTGAAGTCGGAAATATATTAATCTAGGTCAAAAATTACTTCTTTTTTGTCATGTCAGGAGCGACCTGAGAAACTGCAAGGCGCTTCTGGTGTGAGAGAATTGGCCGTCTGCAAGGACGTTGCCCAGGGGACGCCTGGATGATTCATGATGTTTTATCATCCTTGTGGGAGGCTTCTCTCATGTCCCCGAATGAGGAGCTGGAGCTGATAGAGGGACCTCATCCGCCTCTCCCCGGATTCGAACCTGCGATCTGTCGGTCTTCAGTCCTGCCGTCACAGGGGTTTAACCCACTGCGCCACCGGGGGCTCCTGTGACATGACTTTTTGAGTACTGACTTGCAAAGCTGGTTCTGTTGTCTGTATAGACATTGGGTTGTGCAGTGTATTTGTTCCTAGCCATTTTTTAAAGGAAGAAGCATATGAAGGTGATCAGATTAGATAGAACTGGAGAAAAATGTGCCAATACATTACTGTGATCCTGTTGGGTTTTTTTTTTTTTTTGGTTTTTTTTTTTACAGAACTGTGGCCTATAATTGCAAGTGTTTTCATGTTCAGTGCTATAACTTCAGCCATGATGCCACTCCTGACCTACTGTGCCCTTAGTAGCATTAGGCACAGTACTTGGCTGCCCTGTGACCTCAGTCACAAGGCAGGCTCGGGCAGACGTAACTGTCCACATTGCAAATAAACTGGTGACTTACATTTCTGTTCAGCGCAGCTACAACTTTTCACCCTTGCAAAACTGTGATTTCAACTGTGATTCAAAGGGGAAGTTACACAAAACCCTTTGGTATCATTAATACCTCATGAATGAATGACCCGAATCCAGGAGAAGGTGTTATTGAGGTGTAAAACTGGTCTTACCACTTTCAGTGTGACTTACTAAAACTGTGAGTTGGATTCTGCCAGTATTGTAATGTGACTGCCTATGGTGATTGTCTTTAGAGGGGAATGACACGTAGGTTCCATAGCTCTAAATAAATAAATAAATATGCGAAATGTGAATTTTTCAAGTTGTTCCTTCCCTAAACCTGCTGTTCTACATTGATCTTTACAAAGCAATTGGAAGAAATTAATCTAATCCTGAACTGTATCCTTTGCTACACTTGAAAGTAGCTCTATGTACTGGTGAAAATAATCAGGTTTATTTATTTATTTCGTATCAAAAGCATTGCATAAATTAGCATAAAACCGATAAAAAATAGGAGTGCAGGTGGCTAAATATCTTTTGACCAAAAACGGACAACAGCAATGGCGTTGTCTTTAGCCTCCAACAAATCTTCCTCTGTACATGAGGCAGGGCATAGTGGACAAGCATACAGATGCGGACTTGTCTGTTCTGCTCCACAGTCACACAAGGTGTGGGATTCTTTTAGGTAGTGCCATTTTGCCAGGTTGTCTTTTGATCTGCCCACTCCACTTCTGAGTCTGTTCAGGGGCTTCCAAGTTGCCCATTCTTGGTTTGCCCCTTGAGGAAGACCCTCGTGGGGGGGGGGGCATCCAGTTGGGATTTCCTGGTCTAGCTGCCCAGAGGGATACCCTTGCTGTTTCTGGGAGGACACCAAGAGGAGTGGTAGTTCTCATAAAGCTTTTCCTTGATTTAAGTCCACTGGGAGGAGGCTGGTAGCCATGTAGTTGGTGGCTTTCACAGTGTTCAACTTTATTTCTCTCATATTTAGCAGCAACTTCCCATTGCACATCAGGTGAAATGTGGAATATATTGTAAGCATTTGGACTCAGATTTAAAAAGCGCAGGGTTGGCCTATAAAAAATATTGCAGCGTAAATGTTTGATGGCGGAAACAGATAGAAGGAAATGGCTTTTCCCTATGGTGCATGCGGAAGAATAGTGACGTGGATGTCATTTTTCATTATCTAAAGCACCTTTGGATCATATTCTTTGGTTTCTTGGACTGCTTTCTTTCTTTCTGGCAGAAAAGAAAGTGTTGGTCATCTGTTCGCAATTCCACCTCTCATGTCCCGTGTCCCCAAGTATCCAGAAGCAGTTTGTCAAGAGAAGGAAAAATATTGGTGGTTGCTTCCTTGTCTTCTTCTCCCACTGCACGTGGAATGCTATTCTGAGTCCATCCAAACAATTCTAAACAAATCCAAATGTTTAAATACTTTATATTATCCTTCTGTGCTAGAAATATATAATTAAATTAAATTATATCCATCTGCAAATTGAATAATCTGGCTGTGTTGGATATGCTAAGCTAACTTAAAACATTGTCAGCTTCCTTGTGGAGTTCATAAATTGTCAGTCCTACAATGATGTAGGAGATGTAGGGTTATGAGTAGAGACATGCAATTTGCTTCTTGGTAGTTCACTACTGGCTACTAGCAAGCAATTGCTGCTTCTTGGGCAAATGTTGACAAACTCACAATGCAGATATACGGGATGTTTCAAAAAGATGAACCTGATTAGTAATTGCTATATCTCTGCTATCACAAACTGCCCGTTGAAAGGGTTTCAAATTATTACCGCCAAATGTCTCTCCCATTGCGCAAACAGCCCCTGGCTTCAATCATTTGTAAGATGATGACCCCACTACATAAGACCTATTGAGATAGGATTACAGAATCATAGAGTTGGAAGAGATCACATGGGCCATTCAGTCCAACCCCATCATGCAAGAAAAGCACAATCAAAGCACCCCCAACAGGTTCTCCATTTGCAGACTTATTTTTTAGATTTGTTTCTAGCTCAAAATGGTTTGTAAAACTTGATAACCCATTAAATCATTTGTAACTTTTTGTGTAATTGCAATATTATGTATTTATTTTATTTACAGTATTTCTATTCCGCCCTTCTCACCCCGCAGGGGACTCAGGGCGGATTACAGTGTACACATATATGGCAAACATTCAATGTCAATTTGACATACAACGTATGCAGACATACACAGAGGCTATTTAACTTTTTCTGGTCGTCCATCTGCGACACTGATGAAGTACTTCCGCATTCCCCGCATGCTTTTGCTGGAGTGCTTTGCTTGAGTCTTTTTTATGGCCTCATAAATTAGTTAATTTAGCCTCCCCACACAAGGTGATACCTAATTTTCCTACTTGACAGATGCAACTGTCTTTCGGGTTGCAAAGGTCGACAACAGGCTACACAATTGGTTGGAAGCCCACTCCAACCCGGGCTGGCTTCAAACTCATGACCTTTTGGTCAGAGTGATCTTAATGCAGCTAACACTCAGCCAGCTGCACCATAATCCCGTTGCCATTATGAGATATACTGCTTTGAAATGGGGTCCATCATTTTGAAACACCCTGTACTATGTCACACAGTTAAGCCCACAGAAGCCTATATGGGTTTTTTTAAAGTTGGTACTGACAATGTGACAATTGCCACATATAGTAATCTGGCATGCAGTGTTGCATTCAAAGTTTGTGTTGGTAGTAGTCTAACTCATTCTGGTTCTGGGTTCTGTTGGCTGTACACAAGATCACAACAGCTGTGATGACAGATGAGTTAGAAATATAGAGCAGATCTGGTATCTCTGTGTCAAACTTGTCTAGCAGTCTTCTCTAAAATTAATGCATAACACAATAGGTGACACAAAGACGTAGACTTGGAGAGCAGAAGAGAGCTATTTCTTCAAATCCTAAACTTCAAGAGCCTTAAGTTCACAACTACTGTATGAGCTTTCTAGTAAACAGATTTGTTCTATGTAAGCATCTTTAGAAAAATCTTGCCAGAATTTTGTATGGTCTTAGAGGAGT